AGGCTCCAACAGTATATGAACCGAGAACTTCCAGATGTTCAAGCAGAGGAACCAGAGATCAAACTGCCAACATCTGTTGGACCATAGAAAAACCAAGAGAGTTCCAGAAAAACATCTCCTTCTGCTTTATTGACTATGCCAAAGCCTTTGTGTGGATCACAACAAACTGTGGAAAATTCTTAAAGAGATGGGAACACCAGCCCACCTTCTGATAAATCTGTGTGCAGGTCAAGAAGCAACAGTTAGAACCGGACATGAAACAATGGACTGGCTCCAAATCGGGAAAGGAGCCCGTCAAGGCTGCATACCGTCACCCTGCTAACTTAACTTATATGCAGGGTACATCATGCAAAATGCCAGGCTGGATGAAGCACAAGCTGGAATCAAGATTGCCAGGAGAAATAGCAATAACCTCAGATATGCAAAGGACACCAACCTTATGGCAGAAAGTGAAGAGGAGCTAAAGAGCCTCCTGATGAAAATGAAAGAGGAGAGTGAAAAATTTGGCTTAAAACTCAACATTCAGGAAACTAAGATCATGGCATCTGGTCCCATCACTTCATGGCAAATGGATGGGGAAACAGTGGAAACAATGACATACTAAAATCTTGGTCCCTTCAGTATTGGGACGGGATGGTTGCCATGATTTTAGTCTTTTGAATGCTGAGTGGACATGTAGACACTGCTGAATTTAAAACGGACCATCACCAGGACTTTCTGTACAGCACGGGAACTCTGCCCAGAGTTACGTGGCAGCCTGGATGGGAGGGGAGTCTGGGGCAGAATGGAGGCATACGATTTTAATCATTTCTTCAAAGAAGATATATAAGTGGCCGATAAGCACTTGGAAAAATATTCAGGGCTTCCCTGGTGGCTCAGTGGTGAAGAGCCCGCCTGCCAGGGCAGGAGACACACGTTGGACCCCGGGTCCGGGAGGATCCCACAGGCTGCAGAACAATGGGGCCCGTGCGCCACCCGGAATTGCGGCTACTGAGCCCCGCGCTGCAGCTCCTGAGGGCAGAGAGCTCCCGGCTCTGCAACAAGAGGGGCCCTGCAACAGAAGCTCACACACTGCAACTGGAGAAAAGCCCAGGAAACATCGAAGACCCGGCACAGCCACAAATCAATACATAACATTATTCATTAAGAAGAGAAAGGTACGTATCATTATTTGCCACGAAAGAAATGAAATCACAACCACAATGAGAAACCACAGCCATTGAGATTGCTGTGATTTTAACAGACAATAACTAGCACTGGAAGAATGTGAAAATAATTGAATGTTTAAGAGGAGAGTGAAAAAGTTGCCTTAAAGCTCAACATTCAGAAAACTAGAATCATGGCATCTGGTCCCATCACTTCATGGCAAATAGATGGGGAGACAGTGGAAACAGTGGCTGACTTTATTTTTCTGGGCTCCAAAATCACTGCAGATGGTGATTGCAGTCATGAAATTAAAAGATGCTTACTCCTTGAAAGGAAAGTTATGACCAACCTAGACAGCATATTAAAAAGCAGAGACATTACTTTGCCAACAAAGGTCCATCTAGTCAAGGCTATGGTTTTTCCAGTGGTCATGTATGGATGTGAGAGTTGTACTATAAAGAAAGCTGAGTGCCGAAGAATTGATGCTTTTGAACTGTGGTGTTGGAGAAGACTCTTGAGAGTCCCTTGGACTGCAAGAAGATCCAACCAGTCCATCCTAAAGGAGATCAGTCCTGGGAGTTCACTGGAAGGACTGATGTTGAAGCTGAAACTCCCAATACTTTGGCCACCTGATGCGAAGTGCTGACTCACTGGAAAAGACCCTGATGCTGGGAAAAATTGAAGGCAGGAGGAGAAGGGGATGACAGAGGATGAGATGGTTGGATGGCATCACCGACTCAATAGACATGGGTTTGGGTGGACTCCGGGAGTTGGTGATGGCCAGGGAGGCCTGGCATGCTGCAGTCCATGGGGTGGCAAAGAGTCGGACACGACTGAGCGACTGAACTGAACTGAACTGAACATTGCTAATAGTGCTGTAAAATGATGTAGTCCCTTTGGAAAACAGTCTTGCTGCTGCTGCTGCTGCTAAGTCGCTTCAGTCATGTCCAACTGTGCTTGATCGCATAGACGGCAGCCCACCAGGCTCCCCTGTCCCTGGGATTCTCCAGGCAAGAATACTGGAGTGGGTTGCCATGTCCTTCTCCAAAACAGTCTTGACAGTTCCTCAAATAATTAAACACTGACTACCATATGACCCAGCAATTACTCTCCTAGGTGTATCCACAAGGAGCTGAAAACACATGTTCACATATATAAACTTGTACATGAATATTCATAGCAGCCAAAAGTGGAAGCAACCTGAAGTCCACTTAGTTATGAATGGATAAACAAATGTGATGTATCTATACAGTGACATGTTATTCAACCATAGGAAGGAAGAATTTGGACATGGTACACAAGCATAAACGTTGAAAACAGTACAGCAGGTGGAAGAAGGCAGGAACAAAAGGCTACCTAGTGTATGATTCCACTTAAAGAAAATGTTCAGAATGGGCAAATCCGCAGAGATAGGAAGTGTGTCAGTGACTGCCATGGGGGGTTGGGCATGACTGCTTGTGGGCACAGCATCTCTCGGGGGTGAGAGTGCTGAGTGGGCTGCCTGTGGGGCCCAGGTGGGGCTCTCTCAGTGGGGCGGTGGGCAGGCCCTCTTGAGAGGCCACAGCGGGCACTGGGACAGACAGGCTGCCAGCAGGCCATGGCTTTGCCTTCCCTAAGAACGGGACTTCTTCAGCTCATTGCTGCCTCTCACTTCCTCTTGGAGGAAACCGGCAGACAGGCCCAGCTGCACCTCCATCAGAAACCGCACGGTCCGGCCACTTCCCCCAAGCCCGATTCCGCCAAAAGTACACGGGGCGTCCCGCCTCTCTGCTGTGGTCCAGATCACCGTTTGCTTCCTGAGTTTCAGGATCGCAGCTGACAAAAGCATGTCATGGGCATGAGTCATGAGTGCATTTTTTTCTTTTTTATCTTGAACATGATTTATTCTGCTCGTTTCCGCTACCCTGCACTCCGCTCTGCCATCTGGCAACTACTTTTCATTGTAGAAGTCCCCCCTGGTTTCTGCTTTGTTTGCAGTTAGTTCTGAATCCTCAGCAGATAGCAGCTCAGGGAGAGTTCTCGGTGCTCTGCTCACGGGAGCAAAAGGTGCATCCAGCAGGTGCCTCAGAAACGTCTACTGGTGAAGGAGCTGCACCACGCCTCTGGCCTCTCTCTCTCGGGCTGATCTGAATCATCTTGGCAGGAAGCAAGATGTGCATTTCTGAGATGATTTCTGCTTCCCTGGGGCGGCGGCCGTGGCCACATCCGGAGCTGCGTGGCGCCGCCAGCTCACCCCTCCCGGGTCTGCACCCGCATCTGGTGGGAGAGGTCCCCGTTCCGTTCCAGGGGTACCTCCCGGGTTTCCTCAGGAATCCTGACTTGCATCTGCAAATTCCCTGAAGGCCGGCCTGACTCATTCCAGGCCTTTGCAAGCAGGCAGTGAGTCAGTGGGTCTTCGTTTCTTTCCCATGTGAATGATTCAACACACATTCCACAAATAAGAAAATGGGCACAAAAAGGGTCAAATAAATAGGCGAGGTCTGCGTGGGGAAGCATAAACCAGGAGGCCAAGGAAGCAACCGTCAGCCTGACTCCTGGATCTGTGCCCTTTATTATCCTGCCTGAGAGCCAGAGAAGGGTCCGGAAGTCCACACTGTGGGAGACGGGGAAAGAATCTCATTTTTTACTTTGCATAATTATAATAACAATTAATTATATATTATATATATATATATGCACATACTGCTTTAAAACACCTAATTTATAACGGAGAAGAAACTAGCTATACATTGAAGAGGCAAATCACAGACAGCTAACTATGCATTTTCTTTAAATAAAAAAAGCTATCCATTTTCTGCTTTAAAAGTGATCTGAGATAATACTAGGCATAGAGTCAAAACAACTTGGAAATGTTGGACACAAGGAATAGTGACACCAGGGGCCTGAAAACTGTCTTCACTGAGTACAATCTTGCATCTGCAGTTCACTCTGTGGGAGGTCCTGCTCCGTCTGTGGTGGGCTCTCCAAAGACACCTGTCCGGTGAGTGGATAGAGTCTGCGTGCGCCAGCCCCAGGCCGCTCCGGCCACCGTCTGCAAGGAGAAGGCCCTGCCGACCGGGGGTGAGTTCACAGCATCACTCCATCCCTCAGAGCCGGGCAGCCAGAAGGCGCTTGCCCAGAGCCTGCATGATTTACTGACGTGCCTGGAATCCCTGGATGAGACATGCTGTGCCCAGGAATCCTATTACTCATCTGTTCCCGCTGCTGCCCTCTCTTCGGCACTTTTTCCAGCCTCTCTCTCTCTGGGGCACGGCCCTCTTTCTCCCCAGTTGTGCTGAGGCCTGCCTGACACATTCCGATCATTGGCAGAAAGGCAGATTTGAGAAAAGCTTCCCCCTGTTTTTAAAAGCTGCCTCAGGCTCCACATTGCTGAGGCTGCTGGTGGCTGTGGCGTGATCGGTCCAAATTCTGGCCACAGGCAGGGAAAAGTCCCCACCGCAGCCATTCTAAGATGGCTTTTGCTTTGAGTGTTTTTACCCTCGATAATGTTTGAGGCTTGTGAAATACCCGTACATCCTGGGTGTCACTTGATCAACAACAAGAAGAAACACACACAACACACAAAAGTAGCCGTCTGGTGGACATGTAAAATTTAAACTGACGTTTATTTTCGTTTGAGCTCTTAAAACAATTGTGTGATGAAAGATCTGCTGGAGGAAGAAATGGCTTGAAAAATAGAAACAAGAGTATAAAATACCAGAAAATATCTCACTAATTTCCACCTAAGAGGGAAAGACCCTAGTGCACCATCTCCCTACCTCCTCCCAGATGGGCTCTGGGGCAAAGAGGTGGTCCTACTGCTGTGAGCTTCAGCCTGTGCCAGTGTGTGTGTGGGGGGGCGGTTTCCACACCCCCTAGTCCTTCTCATATAACCGCCCATAGAGAGCTGCTGTCACCAGCCCAGAGGACAGTCCCTTCTTCCTCAGGAAATAATGATCACTCTCCCAGCCCAGCTGGTCCGGGGTTTCCAGGGTCATCCCTGAGGTCAGAAGCATTGGAAAGATATAAGAAGTACTGAAGTTGCCCCATAGGTGAAACTCGAACATCCCCTTGGCCTCTGTGATCTCCTGCCCACACGTGTCAAAGCCAAGACCCCCACACTTGACCAGCGCACAGACTTGGACATAGTAGGTGCCATGCACGGTGTGAAGGCCATCGAAAACCCCCAGGGCGTACAGCTCCTGGGACACGGCGGGCCTCTGGTAAAGCAAATGGCAGCACAGGCCGTTTGCACAGACGCGGAGGTGGCCTTCCCGTCCCCACACGGGAACCAGGGTGAAGTTGTCATACATCATCTCAGAGTTAAACGTGGGAGAGGCGTTGGTGGTCGATTTGGCGGCTCCATCACAATGGACGTCCTGGGCATCCTTCTCAGAGTAGGGATCCCCTGCCAAGAGCTCCAAGAACTTCCTATGGGATGGGTCCGTTTTCTCTGTGGCGTTCCCCGTACTGACGAGACCCGGTGGATTTCTGGCTACCTCGGCGATTATGAGGTGACCTTCAGGGCTTTCCATGTTGTGGTGCCAAAAGGACTTCAGAGGGGTGTGTATGCCACTTCCTGTCATCCCCAGAGATGGGTGGTGGATGTTCGCAGCCAGAAAGTTGATGCCAAAGGCGATGGCGAAGCCTCTCTGAATCTGAATGGCCGCCAAGAGTGGGAGCTGGTTCATCCAGGCAGTCGGATACACAACGTGCTTCACCTCAGAGTCTCTGAGGAGGCTGACAGCGGGGTCAAAGAACAGTATGTCAAAGCAAGTGAAGACGCCGAACTTGCCAGCGAAGGGGGTGTCGAAGACTATGTGATCCACCTCCAGAGGGGTATCGAATGCTGCCTCAAAGTAGAGGTTATGTTTGCGGTAGCGGTCAACCAGGGTTCCATTACTGCTGAACACAACGTTCGTGTTAAACTGGTATCTACCGTCACTCGGGCAGCCTGGGTCACTGCTATGACAAGGCTGCTTTGTCCCAAGATTGGCCACCAGGAACATCTCTCCCTTCATAGCCATACAACTCAGGCGCTGGAGGACCTACAGGGGGAAATAAAAGTGTAAATAAAGGCAGTTTTAAACCCTGCCTTCCTCTTATAATTTTAGAATAGTACCTGTATTATGTCCATAATATATAAACAGCGATCATAAATCAATAAGAAAAGAAGTAACCACCACCGAAAGCATGAAGAGAATATGAACAGGTGGGTTACAGACGAACAAATACAAACGGCCAACAAACACCTGAGGAGATGCTCAGTCTCTTTAGCAGTAAGGACATACAAATTAATATGATAATGAGCTCTCATTTCTCACCTCCATAAGACTGGCAAAAATTAAAGACTATTCTATCTCTCACTGACCAAACAATGGGCAAACAGGCACTCATGTGCTATTACTGGGGATGCAAAGTTGCAATAAAATCCTTTAAAGGAAAAACACAGTGCTCTTTAAGAAATTATTTTTAAAGTGTTTATCCCGGGGAGGGGGGTGGGGCTCCAATCAATGTGGCAGAACAGAGGGATGTGCAGCTCACCTCCTCCCCCATTCACGTCGGAACACACCCCCATCTGCAATAATTCTCACAGAACACCCGCTGCATGCTGGCAGACCTTCTCAAACACCCAAAATCGTAAAAGAAATCGCCACACACCGGGTAGGACGAAAGGAAAAAAAAAGCGGGCGTGGGGGTGGGAATTGGGACGGGACTTGCACCCCTGAGAAGTAGCTGAGAAAGAGGAAAGGTTCCCGCACCCTGGGAAGCCCCTTCACTGGCGGGGAGCTCAGTCCAAGACAGAAGGGAGCTGCAGGGGCTCAGAGGGGAGTCCAGCCACCAGCCCGAGGCAGACAGGGTAGAGAGGTCTGCAGGGACGGTCTGAGCTGCCGCCCTGGGCCAGAGACATGCGTGCGCCGAGGGCAGCGGCAGCGCTGGGTGCTGAAACTCAGGCTTCCGAGGACAGCCCGAGGGGCAGGGCTGCGGTGGGCTGCACGCAGACAGCCTGAGGGGCTGGAGCATGGTGAGTGGGCAGGGGTGTATGCGGAAGAAGCCTTGGCCCGCCACAGAAGTGAGGAGCCTTTGTGAGCCAGCGTGCAAGGCGACGGCGGGCCTGCCGTGGGAGCCTGTCTTGGCTCGCTCATGGCGAGCCATCAAAACCCCACTGTTAACGCACACGTCCCGAACAGAGGGGTGGGTCCACCACAGCGGCCTCTTTTTCCATGGGTGCTGATGGCAGCGCTACCTCTGCGAGCTCTGGGGGAGCACCCGTGAGCTGCCCGCGTGCAGAGGCAGGAATCGAGCCCTCCCCCGCCACTGTGCGGGGTCACCCCACCACTGCCGGCTCTGTAAGCTCAGCGTCCTGGGACATCTCAGGGGGCAGCTCCCGGCCTGGGACAGGTCCGGCCTTAGGCTTAGGGCTAGGGTTAGCTGTGTGCCGTGGGGCCGTGCACACGGGGGCCACTGCAGATCCAGGGGTGCGACTACCATTCTCGGGATGCCCGACTTCAGCGAAGCTGCGCTGGCCTTGTGAGAAGGCCCCCCGAGGGAACCAGAGCAGGCTGCCCGTGTTCCCATGGTTGAGAAGCGACCGACAGCAGTGCCCAGAGCTGAAGGCTCTATACGCTTGTTGGACAGGTGACACCGCACAGCACGCTCGGGGGAGCACGGCACTGGCGGAGGAACACTTAGTGGCTCCTCTCCCAGCAGGAGTGCTCCAACCCCACCTCAGCTCCCCGGCTCCCTCGCACCCCAGCTCAGAAACGGGTCTGGGGGCTTCTGCTCCAACAGTGCGGGAGCAGATCTGGCCCCCAGTGGGCAGTGACAACCACTGAGAAAAGAGGAGGCCCTGCTCAACATCCAGCGCAGGCTCTGGTCACCACGACACCTCCTATCCAGGGGATAATGACCAATATAGACCGACGGAAGAGCAGCAGACATCTATACTAAAGACAGCCCTCACACCAAAAATACTAAACCCACACAAGCTACCCAGGGATGCCAGCACATAAAGCTAGACTAGACCTCCAAGACCACAGTAGATCACTGTTTCTCCTAAATTCACAGAGTAAGAGAAATATAAGTGAAACACAGCAGAGGAACCACTCCCAATTCAAAGATCAAGAGAACTCGCCTGAAAGAACAAACGAAGCAGACCTCATCAGTCAAATATACACTGGATTCAAGAAGGAGATAATGAAAATACTGAAGGAATTAAGAAGAGCGATTGATAAAAATGCAGACTACCGTTAAGAGGAACTAGAAACTACAAAGAGAAGCCAAGAAAAATTAGAAAACTCACTTGCCCAGACAAAAGCTGAGCTAAAGGCAATGAATAGCAGATTAAATAATGCAGAAGAATGAATAAATACCTGGAAGATAGAATAATGGAAGTCACTCAATCAGAAAGGCAGACAGAAAGTCAAATAAAAAGAAAAAAAAAATGAAAGCAATATTAAAAACTATGGGATAATACGGGCTTCCCAGGCGGCATTAGTGGTAAAGAGCAATGCAGGAGACACAAGAGCCATGGGTTTGATCCCTGGTTGAGAAGAGTCCATGGAAAAGGGCATGGCAACACTCCAGTATTCCTGCCTGGAGAATCCCATGGACAGAGAAGCCTGGAGAGCTACAGCCCACAGGATTGCAAAGAGTCAGACACGCCTGAAGTGACTTAGCACACATGTGCACATGGGGTAGGATAAAGCGTGCCAATCTAAACATAATAGAGATTCCAGAAGGGGAAGAAAGACAAAATGGGTCAAAGATTTCTTTGAAGAAATTACGGCTGAAAACTTTCCAAAACGAAAGAAAGAAACAAATATCCAGATGCAGGAAGCAGAGAGAGTCCCAAACAAGGTGAACTGAAACAGACCTACACCAAGACTTTCTATAATTAAAATGACAAAAGTTAGACAAAGAGAGGATTCTTAAGGCAGCAAGAGAAAAACAGAATTAATTACAAGGGAACCCCCTAAGGCTATCAGCTGATTTCTCTACAGAAATGGGCTTCCCTGGTGGCTCAGAGGGTAAAGCATCTGCCTGCAATGCAGGAGACCGGGGTTCAATCCCTGGGTTGGGAAGATCTCCTGGACAAGGGATAGGCTACCCACTCCAGTATTCTGGCCTGGAAAATCCAATGGATGGAGAAGCCTGGTGGGCTACAGTCCATGGGGTCGCAAAGAGTCTGACACGACTGAGCAACTTCCGTTTCTTTCTTTCTCTACAGAAAAGTCGCAGGCCAGAAGGGAGCAGCAAGATACACTCCTAAAAGAGTCTTACGAATTTTAAAAAAGTCTTAAAAGGGAAAAATCTGCACTTCCCTGGTGGCTCAGCTGGTAAAAAATCTGCCTGCAATGTGGGAGACCTGGGTTTGATCCCTGGGTTGGGAAGATCCCCTGGAGAAGGGAATAGTTACCCACCCACTCCAGTATTCTGGACTGGAGAATTCCACGGACTTCAGTCCATGGGGTCGCAAAGAGTCGGACACGACTGAGCGACTTTCACTTTCACTTTTCACAGGATAGCCTACCCAGGAGGATTATCATTTAGAATAGAAGGAGAGATAAAAAATTTCTCAGACAAGCAAAAAACCAAGCGAATACAACAATACTAAACCTACCCTAAAGGAAATATTGAAAGGTCTTCTCTAGATAGAAAAGAAGCAAGAATCTATGGAAAAGAGAAAATCACAACTGGAAAGTAAATCACTTCAGTAAACTATTATACAGATTTTTTTAAAAAAATAAAAAATTTTGTGAAGGCAATGAATAGCAAAAGAATAAACGTGAAGATGTAAAAGAGGACATGAAAGTCATAAAATGTTGGGGAGGAGAGTAAGAAAAAGTAGATTTTTTTCTCTGAATGTGTTTCAGCCTATGTGACTATAAGTCTAATGCAAGTAGATGTAGGAAGGGGTTAACATACTTGAAAAACAGGGTAACCACAAATCAAAGACATACAACAGATTCACAGAAAAACAAAAAGAGAACGTAAGTATAATACAAAAAGAAAATCATCAAATCACAAAAAGAAGAAGAAAAAGGGACATAAAAGAAATTAAAAAGTCAACTAGAAAACAGAGTCTACAATGGCAGTGAATATATATATCTATCAATAATTACCTTAAATGTCAATGGACTAAATGCTCCAGTCAAAAGAAAGAGTGGCAGATTGGGTTAAACAAAAAAAGTGCTTACAACATGCTGCCTACTTGAGACTCACTTTAGGACGAAGGACATATACAGATTGAAAGTGGCGGGGGTGGGGACTTGCCTGGTGGTCCAGTAGCTAAGACTCCTTGCTCCCAATGCAGGGGCCCCAGGTTCGATCCCTGGTCAGGGAACTAGATCCTGCATGCTGTAACTAAGACCCAGCACAGCCAAATAAAGATAAGTTAAAAAAAAAAAAAACTGAGGATATGGAAGAATATATTTTATGCATATGGAAATGACAAGAAAATGAGGGTCACAATATTCACAGAAGACAAATAAAATTTTAAAACAAGGACCATAAAGAAAGATAAAGAAAGGCACTATATAATGATAAAACAATCAATACAAGAAGAGGCTATTACACTTGTCTATATGTATGCACCCAATATAGAATCACCCAAATGTTTAATACATAAAACAAGTGCAGACATAAAGTGAGAAATTGACAGGAACACAACAGTAGAAGGATACTAACACCTCACTCACATCAATGACAGATCTTCCAGGCAGAAAATTAATAAGGCACAGAGATCCTAAATGATACAATAGAACAGTTAAACTTAATTGATATTTTCAGGTCCTTACATAAAAAAAAAAAACACATTCTTTTCAAGTGCACATTGAACATTCTCTAGAATGACTACATTACTAGGGCACAAAATAAGCCTCAAGAAATGTAAGAAGCCATAAATCATTTCAAGCATCTTTTCTGACCACAATGGCATGAAATTAGAACTGAACCACAGAAAAAGAAATGAGAAAAAAAAATGGTTACATGGAGACTAAACAACATGCTATCAAAAACCAAAGGGTCAATCAATTATGAAATCAAAGAAGAATTTTAAAAATACCTTGAAGCAAATGACAATGAAAACACAACCATACAAAACCTATGGGATGCAGCAAAAGCAGTCCTTAGAGGGAAGTTCACAGTGATACAGGCCTTCCTCAAAACACAAGAAAAAGCTCAAATAAACAATCTAACCCATCACCTAAAAGAATGAGAAACAGAACAAACCACACGTAAAGTCAGAGGCTCCCCTGGGGGCTCAGCGATGGGGAGCTCATGTGCCAGGGCAGGAGACAGGGTTCCACCCCCAGTTCAGAAAGGATCCCACACCCGTGCGGCAGCTGGGCCCGTGGGCCACAGCTTTCAAGCCGCACTCCAGAGCCCAGGAACGGCAGCTACTGAGCCACATGCCGCAGCTGCTAAAGGCTGAGCACCCTAGAGCCCAGGCTCCCAGGAAGGGAAGTCAGAGCAGTGAGAAGCCTGCGCACTGCAATCGGAGTGGAGCCCCTGTTCACGACAGCTAGAGAAAACCCACAGCAACGGGACCCAGCACTGCCAAAAACAGTAAATAAAATTATATATATGCCCTAGAGTCGTTAGAAGGAAGGAAATAATAAAGATGAGAGAGGAAATAAATAAAGATTAAAACAACAACAGAAAAAAATCAATAAAACCAAGAGCTGGTCTTTTGAAAGGCTGAACAAAATCAACCAATCTCTAGCCAGGCTCAACAAAAAAAAGAGAGAGAGAGAGAGGACCCCAATAAACAAAAGAAGGAAAAGAAGAGATAACAACTGCTACCACAGAAATATAAAAGACCAGGAGAAAATACTATGAACAATTACATGCTAACAATTTAGACAATGTAGATGAAATGGACAAGTTTCTAGAAACATACAGCCCACCACAACTGAAGCTAGAAGAAATAGATAATTTGAACAGACCAATCACAACAAGTGAAATAGAATCTATAATTTAAACTTCCTACAAACAAAAATCCGGGACCAGATGGTTTCACTGGGGAATTCTACCAAACACACAAAAAATAACATGCCGATCCTCCTCAAGTTATTCTGAAAGACTGAAGAGGAGGGGCCACTCCCAAAGACATTCTAGGAAGCCACCGTCACCCTGATACTAAAACTAAAGATGCTACCAAAAAAGAAAAGTACAGGCCAGTATCTTTGATAAATATAGATGGAAAAATTCTCAACAAAATATTAGCAAACTGAATCCAACAACACATAAAAAAGATCATATACCACAACTGGGCTATTCATCCTAGGGTCACAACCCAGGGTCACAAGGATGGTTCAATGTACGCAAATCAACATGTGATACATCACACCAACCAGAGACAAAAACCACATGATCATCTTGACAGACGCAGAAAGAGCTTTTGATAAAATTCAACATCCATGCGTGAAAAAAAAACTCTCACCAAAGTAGAGATGAGAGAGAGAGGGAACATATCTCAACATAATAGAAGCTACTTATGACAAACCCACAGCCAATATAGCACTCAATGGTGAAAAGCTGAAATCCTTCCTGCTAAAATCTGGAACAAGACAAGAATGCCCATTCTCACCACTTGTATTCAACATAGTATTGGAAAGTCCTAGTCACAGCAATGACAAGGAAAAAAAAAAAGGCATCCAAATTGGAAGGTAAGAGGTAAAACTGTCATTATATGCAGATGACATGATACTGTATACTGAAGTGGGTAGCCATCTCTTCTCCCAGGGATCTTCCCGACCCAGGAATTGAACCTAGGTCTCTTGCACTGCAGGCAGATTTTTTACCTCTGAGCCACCAGGGAAGCCCAATACTATATTTAAAAAACCCCTAAAGATCCACACAAAAACTACTAGAACTGATAAACGACTTTAGTCTGGTAGCAGGACACAAGATTAACATACAGAGATCAGTTGCATTTCTCTACACTAAAAATAAATTATCAAAAAGGGAATGTAAAAAAAAAAAACTCTTAAAATTGTTTCAATAAAATAAAAATACTTAGGAATAAACCTGACCAAGGATGTCAGGAAAGACTTATATACTGAGAATTATAAAACATTATGAAAGAAAACTGGAGATGATTTAAAGAAATGGAAAGATATTCCATGCTCTTAGATTGGAAGAATTAATTTTGTTAAAATGGCCATACTATCCAAAGCAATCTACAGATTTAATGTGGTCCCCATCAAATTATGCATGACATTGTTCACAGAACTTGGACAAATAACCCTAAAATTTATAGAGAACCATAAAAGACCCAGAATTGTCAAAGCAATACTGAAGAAAAAGAATAAAGCAGGAGGCATAACCCTCCCACACTTTAGACAAGACTAAAAGCTACAGTAATTAAAACAGTGTGGTCTTAGCACAAAAACAAACATGAATCAGTGGAACAGAAGAGAGAGCCCAGAAATAAACCCACATATCTATCGTCAATTAATCTTCAATAAGGGAGGCAAAAATATACGGCAGAGGAAAGACAGTCTCTTCGGGAAGCGGTGGTGCTGGGAAAGTGAGACAGCCACATGTAAATAAATCAGTGACCTTCACACCATACACAAAGATAACTCAAAATGGCTTAAAGACTTAAATACAAGACATGACACCATAAAACTCCTAGAAGAAAATGCAGGCAAAACATTTTCTGACCTGAATTGTACCCATGCTGTCTTAGGTCAGTCTCTCAAGCTGAGGGAAAAAAGCAAAATCAAACAAGTGGGACCTAATCAAACAGCTTTTCTACGGCCAAGGACACAATACAAAAAGTCAACCTATGGACCAGGAGAAAATATTGCAAATGACGTGACAGACGATGGTTCAGTTTCTAAAATATACAAACAGCTCATACAACGGAACAACAACAACAAAAACCCAATTGAAAAATGGCTGGAAGACCTAAATAGACATTTCTCCAAAGAAGACACATAACTGATGGCCAACAGGCACATGAAAAGATGTCCAACACTGCTAGTTATTACAGAAATGGAAATCAAAACTACAATGAAGCAGTGCCTCATTCCAGTCAGAATGGCCATCATGAAAAAGTCTACAAACAACATGTGCTAGAGAGGGCATGGAGAAAGGAGAACTCTCCGACACTTTGGGGGGGGATGTAAACTGGCGTGGCCACTGTGGGAAACAGCACAGAGGTTCCTCAAAAAAACTAAAGGGATTTCCCTGGTGGTCCAGTGGTTAAGAATCCGCCTTGCAAGGCAGGGAATGCGGGTTTGATGCCTGCCAGGGAACTAGGATTCCACATGCCTTGGAGCGACTGAGCCCAGCGGTGTGCTATGACCACGTGAGCCCGCGAGCTGCAGCTAGAGAGTCTCTGAGCTGCAAGAAAAGCTCCCGTGTGCAGCAGCTAAGACCCAGCCCAGCCAGACGACCCAGCAAGCCCACTCCTGGGCGTGCACCTGGAGAAGACTAATCCACAAAGATACACACTCCCCTGTTCAGAGCAGCGCTACTCACAACAGCCAAGACACGGAAGCCACCTAGATGTCTATCCACAGATGAAAGGACAAGGAAGACGTGCACATACACAACGGAATGTTACTCAGCCATAAACAAGAACGAATAACGCCATCTGCAGTGACACGGATAGACCTAGAGGTTATCATACCAAGTGAAGTAAGTCAGAAAGAGACAAATACCACGTGGGATCACTTATATGTGGAATGTAAAATAGGACACAAATGAACTTATCTATGACATAGAAACAGACTCACAGATATAAAGAGCAGACTTGCGGTTGCTAGGGAGGCGGGGTACGGGCTGTGGGAGAGATGGATTGGGAGTTTGAGGTTAGCAAATGCAAACTGCTATCTATAAAATAGACAAATGAGGTCCTACTATATAGCACAGGGAACCATATTCAATAACCTGTGATAAACGGGAATGAGAAAGAACATAAAGAACAATGTGTGTGTAAATGAACCACTTTGCTTACAGCAGAAATTAACACACTGGAGATCAACTGTGCATCAAGGAAAAAACTTCTTTAAAATAAAAATGACATCAGTATCTGCTGGATGCATAGAAAAGAGTATATTAATAGTTGGAGGTACATCCAATCATTTATGGTTTTCTCTAGAAAGCAGGGTAGGATGGGGGGTGGGGGGTGCTGAAGTGGACTTTCATTTTTTTAAGTTTTTACAGTAATTTTATTTATTGATTTTTGGTTGTGCCGGGTCTTCGTTCCTGCGAGGCCTCTCTGGCCGCGGTGAGTGAGGGCTTCTCTTGCTGTGAAGCGGGGGCTCGAGGGGGCTTGGCCTTCAGTAGCCGCGTCCCCGGGGCTCGGAAGTGCAGGCTTGGGAGCAGTGGCCCGCGAGGGCAGGCCCGGGAGCGCAGGCCCGGGAGCAGTGGAGCTACTCCGCTGCTTGTGGGGTCGTCCTGGACCGGGGATCGAGCCTGCGTCTCCTGCCTTGGCAGCTGGATCCTTGACCACTGAGCCACCGGGGAAGCCCTGTTTTTTAAACTTCTGTTTGATCTGTGGTTCTAGCACATGTTCATGCATTCCTTGGTGACTGAAAACCAGAGTGAGCCGCAGGTGAGTAGTGGCCTCACAGTAGCAGACATACTCTAACCGCGGGCACTGGGAGCTTGGGCTTGGTTTTCGGGGCCGAAGGGCTCCGGCGGCTCACTCCGCACGTCCTGGCTCCTGGCCCCTGGCCTGGCCTAGCTCCATGAGCCTCCTGCCTCCTTTGGAGGGAGACCAGGCCCCGCACTTACCTCCGTGTCATTGAAGCGGTGGGGCTCCAGGCACGGGTTCCACCTGACCAAGTGGGGAGGCGGCATGAAGTCCAAGAACGGGTCAATGGATGTCCTTGTAAAGTTGAACCCGTGGATGCCGTCTTCTGGAAACACTATGATCTGTGCGCCCTGTAAGTCAGAACATCAGAGGACAGCTTGTTAGCAGGTGCTGGGGAGCAGCCCGCATCCTCCCACAGCCCTCCCGCAGCTGCTCAGAACCAGGGACCGGAGGGCCAGGGACCTGAGCCTTGGTGGGGTGGCTCACGTGGCCTGACTCTGAGGGAACCGAGACAGTGTCCTCCCGGAACCAGGGACGTGTCTGGGGCTGGTGAGGGGCAGAGGGGACAGGTGAGCCTGGCTGGAGGGAGAGGGCTTAGGAGCTGGGGACGGTGCCCTGGGGGCTGGAGTGGAAACTACAACAGGCCCTGAACGCCGTGCTCAACAGATGTGCTACCAACAGTCTAGTGCTTTTCAGCCTTCACGGCGCTTCTCCGTCAGACAGGGGAGCTTCTGAAAACACACTGGCTGTTTGGGGCTGATCCGGGGGCCCATCCCGAGAGTCTGCTTCTGTGGGCTGTCAGCGGGGCTCAGGGACAGAGTGTGGGTACAGGGCCCCAGGAAACTCTAACGCGCAGCCGAGGTGGGGCCCCCCTGGGATGGGGGGCTGGGTCGAGCTGATTTTAGCATAGGAACCAGGACTTGGTTCTAACTTGCGTTTCTCTCCCTGGGAGTTAGGAGACTCCGCTTAGAGCCCTGGGCCCCTTACAGACCTCTTCACACGTGGGGTGGCGCAGGGGGCCGGCAGGCACCTGAGACAGCCCGAGTGGACAGGGCCGGGCCCTTCCCCGGCGCACTCTCCACTTACGGGGCTGAAGGTGCCAAGCCTGGAGCCTCAGCCACAGCGGATGGTGGCGGAGGGCAGCCGGGCAGGCACGGGTCATCGAGAATAACAGGTGATCTGAGTCACTGATTTCCAGAATGTGCTGCACACCCTTATACTTTTTCCTGGCTATATAAAACCCATGAAAGTTTACTTGTAGAACATTTGGAAGAGAAATTATAAAGGAAGAATTCATAAGCCTGTATCATGAAGATAGGAATTGCTAACATCCTGATTTCATTTTTTCCCCTCTCTGCCTATGTGTGTGTGTGTGTATAATTGAGACAATGATAAACATACAGTTTTCTGTCTTGATGCTCTCACTACAGAACATCAAGACTACAAAAACGCCGGGACTTTCCTGGAGGTACAGTGGGTAAGAATCCACCTGCCAATGCAGGGGTTCAATCCCCTGGTCTGGGACGATTCCCCATGCTGCAGGGCAGCTGAGACCCAGCACCCTGACGACTGAGCCCATGCTCTCTGGAGCCTGCAAGCTCTGAGTGCTCGCTGAAACGTGAGTGCCCACAGCCCACGCTCCGCAACGAGGGGAGCCGCCCCGACGAGAAGCCTGCACGCCCGCAACGAAGAGTCGGGCCTGCTCAGCACAGTGAGAGACAGGCTGTGTGCAGCAGTGACAGTCAGCCCAGCCAGAAATAAATAAACAAAATTATTTTTTTAAAAAGCTACAAAGACACCTTCAGAAACATCACTTGTATTAGATGCTGGATAATATTTAAGGAGACACCACAGTTTATCCTCTGTACTGGATATTTGAATTGCTCCCAACTTTTTGTAATAAAGAGACAACTGTGGTGACCATCTGCCTACAGGGTACTCAAAACACTTTCTGGGTGAGCACGGTACACAAATCTTTGATTGGAACTCTGGTTATTTCTTTATAAATAAAGCTTTATAAGCCTGAAGAAGTGAAAATACTGACTGTCAAACATAGGAAACAATTTTAAATTCTTCACATGCGTTGCCAAATAGCCTTCCAGAAAGATCACAGCAAAACTCATTCCCTCCAGCAGAATATGCATTTGGTCATCTTACTGCACGTTAGAAAGGAAAATTATCACAAACTTGGAAATAAACAAGATGAAGAATGTCAGTCTCCACTCTCTGTATATCTTTCCACGATACAGCAGCGTACTGGCTGACAAGCACATTCAAGGATCATTTATCTAGTGAATGTACCATTGTTTGCCTTTGCTATTTAACAGAACATCACCCTCAACATGATGTTTTATTGCCCTGTAGGACTAAAGAATCCGCCTGCAATGCGGAAAACCTGGGTTAAATCCCTGGGTCGGGAAGATCCCCTGGAGGAGGGCATGGCAACCCACTTCAGTACCCTTGCCTGGAGAATCCCCACGGACAGAGCAGCCTGTGGGCTGCAGTCTGTGGGGTTGCAGAGAGTCGGACACGACTGGGCGACTAAGCACAGTGACACAGAGGACAGCAGTAGCCAGCTTTGAATCTATTGGCAGATTCATTTCAACGTTCATTTGACTGATGGATACACTCACATCTCTTCCTCGAATTCTCTTTTGAGCCAGCTTTACCACTTTACTGGTTCCTTGGTTTATTAATGAGTTAAACAAAAGCTTTGACACATGTCCATTCTTCTCTATGGGTAAGAGTCACGTTTCTAACTTTTTGCAAATTATACTTGGACAAATGTTTTCCCTTATTAAAAACAAAGCTTTGAAAGCACTGAGTGGTTACCTGTGGAAAGCAACAGTTATGTATACCTACTAATGTTAAACTGCATTTCCTGACTACACGTCTGCCAGGAATGAGGACTCAGACTGGAGCGGAGGCAGAACTCGGGGTCTGATACCCTCGAGGAAGCACTTTGCATGCCTGACAAAGGGCTTCACCAGTTTTCTGATAGACCAGTGAGCCCAAGAACTCCTGAGGAATTCTGAGTGCCAACCCAGGTGAACTCCCAGCCTGATATCTTTAAGCATGACTCCTTTTCTTCACTGTAAATGCCTCTGTCAAGAGAGAACTCTTTCAGTTGGCCTGCAGGAACCACTGCCCTTATAGAATTTTTGATGACACATGCTTGGTCTCAACCTGTGTTAGAGGTGACTCTAACACATATACCCGGGTAGAGGAGCTAAGATGTCTGTAAGCCCTAAACATGGCCAGATCAACAGCTTCGTCTCTGCTCCTGGGCCACGAGTAGAGCTGGAATGATGTCTGCAGCCAGTGTGGTGGTGGCGGTTTGTGTCTGGCTCTTTGCGACTCCATGGACTGTAGCCTACCATGCTCCTCCGTTCATGGGATTCTCCAGGCAAGAATACTGGAGTGGGTTGCCATTTCCTTCTCCAGGGGATCTTCCTGACCCAGGAATCGAACCCGGGTCTCCTGCATTGCAGGCAGATGATTTACCAACTGAGCTATGAGGGAAGCATATGCTTAACAAAACACGCTACATGTTTTGTTTGGGGGCAGGTGATGAGAAGGCAAGGATACTGCAGCCACGGACTCTGGGTTCCAGTGCGGCATCTGCCGAATGTCCCAGCGTGGTTTTGTGGACAGGATGGAGGGAAAGGGGTGACATTTCAGCACTGTGCAAGCCTACACCTGTGTGCAGAGAATGGATCTGTGTCAGGAGAGGGCCTCGGGGCATGCCCTGAGTCAGGGCAGACGCAAACAAGGTGTGTCTGGGAGGTGCGAATGACGCGATGGTAACTGATACGCAGGATGGCCGTACAGATCCCCAAATAGCCCAACAGGCTGTAACGATGAAGTTTAATGGCATAAATGGGAGGCTTTGCTATCAGGTTAAATCAATTACCCTTACAAGGATGGCATGGCCATGGCAGTGTGTGTATCTGTGCAAAAAGGGCTCGGGGGCTGTGACTGACAGCAAGAGCCCGGCGAGCCCACAGCAAGATGTAACTGTGAAAAGCTTTTTGCCTGGGGACAACACTTAGACTGGGAAAGGTGACAGGTCTGCTCCGTCCTGCCCTCGACAGAGCTGTGTGTAGTGCAGGGTATGAGCTAACCCAGGAAGCCTTGCAGGAAGGGCTGGAACTGCCTTTCTCCAGGAGCTGTGGATGGGCCTGGGAACAGATCCCCAGTGGGCCTGAGGGAGATCCCAATGGGCCTGGGGAGAGATCTCGATTGGCCTGGGGAGAGATCCTGATGGGCCTTGGGACAGATCCCCGATGGGCCTGGGGAGTGATCCCCGATGGGCCTGGGGACAGATCCCTGATGGGCATGGGGGAGATCCCAATGGGCCTTGGGACAGATCCCCGATGGGCCTGGGGAAAGATCCTGATGGGCCTTGGGACAGATCCCTGATGGGCCTGGGGGAAGATCCCAGCCGTGACAGCCAGGCTGCGATCTGGGGACGGCAGCATGGGTAGGAGGGGGTTCAGTCTGTCCTGTTGGGCTTGGAGGACGGGGCGATGGGCGGCAGTAGCAGGGAGGCTGACTGTTGCTTATGGAAAGGAAGCTCTTTGCCAGGAGTTCCCGCCGTCCTCAAGTGGACGGTGAGCTTGGAGGTGCCCAGGAGGTGCCCAGGGCTGGGCGTTGGGGTGGGAACAGAGGAGCAGGGTCACCCATCAGAAGCAAATGGACGCGGCCTTTAGGCGCCCTTCCAACATCAGTGTGTTCCACGTACCTGTGCTACAGGCCGCATGTCAGAACGCAGCGAGGGCCAGTGCCTGGCCGGGCAGGGCTGGCCACCCTGCGCAGGGGCGGGGGGCTGTTTCGGCAGGTGGTCCGCTCCCGACCTCACAGGCACGGGGCTCTGCCCCCAGGGGGTGCCCGCTTGTCCCCGGGAGCGGGGCATCCATCAGCAGCCCGGCTGGCCCTACCCCCCAGCCCTCCCTCCAGTTGGTACCCGCTCCTTCCCGGGCACAGAGGCGGCACTGGTCCCCTCTGTCCGTTGGCTCGGCTCTGTCTGGACTGGGCCCTCGGGCTGCTAGGGGTCTGGCACGGGGACCAGCAATGAGCCCCCCATGTCGTTGGGAGGCAGCAAACCCGCTCCGCTCCAGGGCGGCTCCCTGCTTGTTAGACTCAAAGCCTCCGAGAGCAGGAGCGGCTATCAGGCGGGTCGCCTTGCGGTGTTTCTGCACTGTCTTCCTACCGGGGGCGCTTTACCAGCCCCCACGTGTGAGAACCAGGGGCCTGGCTCGGCACTTCCCACCCTGGCTGGAGGGGAAGCATCACCTGGGGATCTTGCAAAATAATAGATTCTGACTCTGCAGGTCTAGGACGGGGCCCAGCGTTCTGCATTTCTCACGGGCTCTGGCAGGCAGGCTGATGCTTCTGGTCTGCAGACCGCCCTCTGAGTAGCGGGGCTCTAGCCACCGGATGCGGCTCAGTCCTTCATATTCACTGGAAGGACTGATGCTGAAGCTGAAACTCCAATACTTTGGCCACCTGATGTGAAGAACTGCCTCACTGGAAAAGACCCTAATGCTGGGAAAGAATGAAGGCGGGAGGAGAAGGGGACGACAGAGGATGAGATGGTTGGACGGCAACACTCACTCAATGGACATGAGTTTGGGTGGACTCCGGAAGTTGGTGATGGACAGGGAGGCCTGGCGTGCTGCAGTCCATGGGGTCGCAAAGAGTCGGATACGACTGAGCGACTGAACTGAACTAAGCCACTTGATTCCTTCAGCTTAGCGCTCTGGGTCTGATTTCCCAGAAGGGCTGCGGGGGAGCACCCACCCGGGGCCAGCCCGCCCTGTTGAGCACGCCTTGCCTTTCGGGCTGCGGCCATCACTTGCTGCTCGTAGACGTCGAGGTTCCGATGCATGAGCTCCAAGGCCTGCTTGCGGCTGGTGAGGGCCAGTGGGTCGGGACTCAGGAAGGACCGGTGCTCGTACACGGCGGCCACGTAGCGGGCGGCCTGGCGGGGCTCGGCTGGACAGCCCTCCTCGGCCGGGTCCCCCGGGACGGCCGCAGCCACGCACCAGCCACACAGGAGAAGGGCCAGCTGCCGGCCGGCTCTGGACATGGCGCCGCTGGTCAGTCTAGAAGGGGAAGGGGCGAGGAGAGGACAGCTGAGTCCAGAGTCCTGCCAGGACCGGGACTTCCACAGCCGCGATTATTCCCCGCAACTAGACATACCCGCTGGGACGCTGCAGCTCAAAAGGTTTGCTTCATGCTCCCAATAAAAGGGAGTGTGTTTCTCCCCAAACACAGAGCGAGGGCCCTTTAATAAAACAGCTCACTGTGTTAACACTCTGGTTCAGAACATTTCCAAAACAGACCCAGTGCTCGCCGCAATTGCTTCCCCAGCAGGACTCTTCTGGCTGCACGCTTCAGATTCAGGCAATCATAACTATTCTAATGGTTTTACATAATTCTGTGACGTACCCTGCACCCCACAGCCTGCCCTCCATACGCACACACACACTGCAGGTCAACCGGCCACACCGGCTGTGATGGTTGTGGTGCTCAAAGTACATCTTGGCTACCCTAGCCATAAAACCTGATGCATCACAACTCTCCGTGCCTTTCTTTGGTTACTAGTGAATATTTATATACTTATATAAAGGCTTATATATAAGCCTCCCCTTAGCCAGCACAACAGTCTTTAACTTGGTGCAGAGAAATGGCCCACTTTTACTTAAACGTCAGTTTGCAGATGGGCTAAAAGAAGTCTGCCACCACGGCATGACTCCCCCCACCCCTTCAGGGAGTCTTGCCTTGATGGCAACTTGAAAATTGCCATCATATACCGCGACTTTTTCTACCTCTGTCTCTGGGATTTCCAAAACTCTTGGTTTAAAAAAAAAAAACCATACTCATTTGGAAATTAAAATCCTTCCGCAGTAATAAAATGTAACTTTCTAGAAAATAAACGAGAATTTTCTGGAAAGGAAACTCAGCTTTCTAGCTCCAGTTGCAAGAGATCAGAAGTAAATCGTATCACTTACAATGACACTTCTGTGTGTGCCTTTCCCCCACAGGAACAGGAATTTTAATCTTTAATAGTTATGTGTCACTGGGCGTTTGTACACACAGTTCTGCCTTGAAAATCGACCTGGCCTGGCAGCCAAAGCCCCTCCCCTGGCACACAGATTTGCCGGGTGGTGCCAAGGCTGGGCCCCCCGCTCTGTGGAGATGTGCCCAGGCTGACCAACCACCCAGCAATCCAGCTAAACACCAAGACAGCAGAAACAGATCGAGAAACCATATTCTGCTCCTTAACAAGAAAATGACGTCCCGCCCAGGTCTGACTCAGAGCCCCCGTGCGTGCATTCCAAAACCAGACTCTCCAGGCACCACACATTTCTTTTTCTTGCAAAACTTCCAAAAACAAAAGCAACCGTAACTATTTTCAGCGGCGCCCCCGCTCCTCCAGGTGCTCCGTCAGAACCCCCACGATCTCAGAGACTTCTCCGGCCAGGCGGCACGCCTTCCCCGCCCTGTCCTGGCCCCAGGCAAACGGGCCCCGTTCTTCCCCAGGGAATAAAGGGTCCACCCGAATGCCAGGCCCCGCACGCACTGCCGCCGTCTGGGCCCCTATGAGCAGAGTCCGGGAGATCAGAACAAGGGGCCTTTGAGCGGGCGGTCAGGAGCTTTTCAGCAGAAACAGAAGTGCAATTGATAAGCGTTCTTATTTGAGTTTTGTTTCTGAAGACCAGCAAGGAATAATTTTTAAAGTCTCAAAAATCTGTTTAACATTCCAGCTATAGTTTCAGAATGATGATAATGGAGAGTTGTTTGGGGGGTGGGCGGGGTGGGGAGCTTTCATCTTCAAAGTCATATTCACAATGTAAGACCACGGGCTCCCTGAGTGAGTGAGTGAAAGTCGCTCAGTCGTGTCCGACTCTTTGTGACCCAATGGACTAGAGGGTCCATGGAATTCTCCAGGCCAGAACACTGGAGTGGGTAGCCATCCCCTTCTCCAGGGGATCTTCACAACCCAGGGATCGAACCCAGGTCTCTCCCTAAGAGGGAGGGAAACGAGGCCCGGTCAGGAGGCCCCGGAGCAAGGGTGCTGTTGGCAGGGCCCTCCTTTCGCAGCTAAGAGCTGCCCACCTCTGCTGAGGGGAGGCAGAACCTCTGCTTACGTCTCGGACGGCGAGCCGGCAAAGCCAGGAACTCGCGGAGCCGGCACGGTATCCTTTCTTCCTATTTTGAGAAAATAAATTGAGATTCTTTACAAAAGGAGCCTGGCAGAGGGGCTGTGCGTGGCCGTCGTTTCTGCGTGAAGAGAGGTCAGTCAGGAATGAGCGGCCAGGCAGATCCAGCCAGTAGTCACGCTCCAAAGGAAGGAAGCCTGAGGCGGCGGCAGAGAGCGCATCATTCCAGTGAAAACGGGCACCATGCGGCGTCCCGGCCGTGGGGCGGCGCCATCGCAGACGTTTCCACCGAGTTCTTCACGCGGCAGGAGCTCTGAAAGGCAGGGCTGGGGCGCGGCCAGGATGCGAGGTGGCCGGAGTTGGCTCGGGAGCCATGCCCGTGGCTGAGGGGCGGGGGGCTCCCCGGGAATAACTGGGCCCTGGGAGGCAGGAGGTGTCTGGCCGTCCAGCAACTGACCCTCCTGCAGTGCTGGGCAGGGCCAGGACCCGAAACACGGAGGTGGCTGGAGGCCTGTGTTCCGTCTGGAGAGCGAGCTACGAGCCTCCTTCCATCGTAGGCATCTGACGAGAGACGAGACTCCGGGAAGGGCCCGGCGTGGCGGCCTCACTGACGGCGTCAGGTGCCCGCGAGCCGGCGGGGGGATGGCACGGCCAGCAGACACTCCCTTCAACGTCCGCGTCGCGCCTGCCCGTGCCAGCCCTTTCGAGGGCACCCCTCCACCTCGCCATGTATCTGCCACCATCTACACAGAGCGTCCCGCACTCGTGACTTGACGATGCCGCGAAAGCCGTATGCTTTCAGCGGAAACCGTGCTGGGGATTCAGAGCGGGGGCCCGCCTAGCGACCCCCTCTCTCACCCTGCTCAGGGCAGACTCGACCCTAAGGTCACGAGGCTGAGCGACCCGCGCCCCGACAACCGTCTGTTTCTCCCTTCCAGCCCGGGGTTCCGGAAATCCCAGGAGACGGTCCGCCCTTCCTGATAAACCAGGCCTGGGGTTAGAGGGCTCTGTCCACCCTCAGACTAACGTGAGTGCTCTGGGCCCAGGTGAGCTGGTCGTGTTACGGTGCTTTCTACCCTCAGATCTTTGCAACTGACGACGAGTTTATTGGGACATTAATCCCGTCGCTAATGCCTGCGGACTGCACTTCATGCTGCAGTAAGTAGGAAGGAAAGATAAAGACAGGGGAGAGGGCAGGAAGGCCCGCGGGTGGGGGTGGGGGCAGGTTTTAGACCAGGAAGGGCTCAAGGAGACCCTGGCATCTGAAGAAGGTGCGAGAGGAGGGCTGCGGACTCCCGCGGGGAGAAGGCCCCAGGCAGCGGGCTGCTTGGTTAGAAGGGCCAAGTGCGGGCTTCGGGGGTGGCTGGAGAAACAGCCAGGAGAGCAGAGGGCTGGGAGGCGGCGCAAAGGGAAGTCAGAGGGCGGCGATGGACAGCGCCCCCAGTGGTCCCGCCTCCTTCGGCCCCTTCTCCACGGAGATCCAGGTAGAGCCTGAGCCGCTCAGAGCAGCTTCTCCGCTCAGAATTCCCCGGTGACCCCCCGGCGCCCCCACAGGGAGGGCCAGGGCGCTCACAGTGCCGACAGCAAACGGCTGCTGGGATGGACGGACTCCTTCACGCCAGCATCCTCATCTGCCCACTGCCTACAGAGGCCTCTGCTTCTCATTTCATAAGGAAGCACGCTCCCCGGATGCTCCTTCTGCTCGGGGAAGTTCCTGCGATCCACGAGGGAAAGCAATCAAGGCCTTAAATCATGACGTGGAAATCGATTTTGTGGAAATTTGGGAACACGTCAATCACGAGATATTTTTACACACAAGGAACTTGGATTTTCCACCTTGGTACATGAGTCACTTTGATAATTAGCTGTGTTTCCTTCCTAGCCTTGCTATTCCAGTAGTGTCTTTTGCAATAAAATGAAAGGACTATTATGAAGGTATTCTTAATAAGATAATTTCAGAGGCGGGTATATACCTTTAAAATTTTATTTATAGATGTCCTTATTGTTTTAATAAAACAGCTTGTCACTTTCCACTTGCCAGGGAGAATAACAGCCCCCTTATTGGGAAAGAGGCGGGAAGAGTTGGCAGAGGAAAATGTTACATCCTGTGGAACAAAGCAGGACCAGCTAAGTCATTAGGAACGCGCGGAATACAATTCTACATCTATCCGACAGGACTCCAAGAAAAACACTGTGACGCTCTAAATAGTTTTAAACCCATTCTCATGAATTTTGTGATTTCCCTAAGTCCATTTACATAAGTAAGTACGAGCATCTCATAAGTCAGAGGAGAAATATGACATCGCTTATATGCAAAATCTAAAAACAAATGATATAAATGAATTTATTTACAAAACAGAAACATACAAACTATGAGAACTTATGGCTGCAGGAGATGGGGGTGGGAGGATGGAGGGAAGGAACAGTTAGGGAGTTTGGGATGGACATGGACACGCTGCTGTATTTTAAATGGAGAACCAACAAGGACCCGCTGACCAGCACAGGGAACTCTGCTCCATGTTATGTGGCAGCCTGGCTGGGAGGGGAGTTTGGGGGAGAAGGGATACATGTATGTGTATGGCTGAGGCCCTTTGCTGTCCACCTGAAACCATCACAACATCGCTTATCAGCTATACTCCAATAGAAAATTAAAGAGAAAAAATTTTTTAAAGAAGTAATGCCTATGGCTGGTTCATGTTGAGATTTGACAGAAAACAGCAAAATTCTGTAAAGCAATTATCCTTCGATTAAAAAAAAAAAGAAAGAAGGCCCTTCTCCATCTAATTTATATAATCTGAATTTAAAGAAACCCCAAGGAGAACTTCGTGATCCGGAAAGCCTCCTCTTCTCGAGCTGGCCCCTGACAGGCCCTGGAGCTGTGTAAAGCGCCACAGCGTTGTAGCTCAAACAGTTTCCTGCAAAC